TAGGGGAATGGATTCTGAATCCTTTCAGAAGTTTCTCTGAGCACAAAGAACTGAAATCTTTGAGCCTGCAGCACTCGTGACCTAGCAATTAAATAAGCATCCTTGGAGAACATCTGAGATGAGAGGGCAAAATGCAAATATTTGGCATGTGCAGGAGTGCTGTGTGATGTTGCTGTTGCCCACAGTTCTTCCCTGTGTCGGCTGTGTGCTTGTCCTGGCTCTTGCATTTGGGCCCCACAGTCAGCTGGAGCAGAACAGAGGTCTTGTCCAGGTATGACAGCAGGGAGTCCTCCTGTGCTGGGGCAGAAGAGGGAGGGGAGGCAGATATGTCCTTCCACTGCCAGTAAATGACATCCCTGTGCCAGGCCTCAGGTAGGCAGTCCACAAACTGAACCATCTTTTGAACTGACTAACAATAAGAATTTCTACACTGCCAGACCAAGGCTATTTTCAAGTCAAACCCAGCCTTCCTGAAGGGTGTCGGCTTCATCGATGCCCCCAGATTTCAGCAGAGACACAGATGTTGTAGCAGGCACACACTTTGGTGAGATTCCTATGACTATCTCATGATCATCACCCTGAAGGATGTAGCTTAAAAAGTCTCTTTTTATTTGCAGTATTTTATATCAGTGTGCCGGCAAATACTATGGATCATTTACAAAAGAGAAGAAAAAGAAGTTAATGCTTTAAAAATAGAAAGAGAGTGCTGTGAGTGTTGATATCAAGGTGTAGTACTAGACTTTGAAACTTTTTCTTGCCCATTTTTTAAAATGAACTACATAGTGATTTTGGCACAAAGAGTTATGTGTACCCTCTTTGTTGGTCAGTGTGTTGTGAGTGTTGTGCCAAAGACACCTGGAGTTGAGTGGGATCAAACTTTTGTCCTCCTGCTGTATTGTCTCGGTATTACTGAAGAAATAAAAATATGCATTTCCAAAGCATTTTAAGCTGCTTGTTCTGATGGAGAGAGCAGATGGAGACCAGAGTGAGAGTGTACTTGCATAGCAAATTCTGTGTTCCAACCATGGCTCAATGTGCAGGCATGCCATGTAAATTGGGCAGAAAACAGGCTGAGTTTGTGAAAGAAAATGGGAAGAATCTAATCCAGCGAAAAACCAAGTGAAGTGCATCTGTGAACATTCTACCCACAGCTTAACACCAGTGATTTTGTGTGTCTTCATTTTCAATGCCTGGCATGAAATGCCCCCAGAATTTCAGGAAATGCTGAGCCTTCACTCTCTTGTCGCCAGGATTCTTGAAAAGTAGTTAGAATTGGTACAAGATCTCCAGTTGGTTTGGACTGAGATCAGGGATCTCAGTGTTGAATGGTGCTGCTGTTCCCTGTGGTTTTCCCAAGCTGCAGAGTGTTTCATGCATGTGGGCGGCTCCTGCACGTGCTGAACATCAGCCTTGGGTGTCCACACGGTCAGAGTGATGAACTAGCACAGATAGAAGTGTCTAGTCCTTGACTTGGGTATGAGCATGTCTAGCATGTCTCAAAAAATATTTTTTCCTGCTAATGAAATGGGAATTATTCTTACTCTGCAGTGTATTTTGAGAGTGGTTGTGTTGAATGCTTTGTACCTCTTCCCTGGCTTTGTTTTGCCCATTACCACAAGTTAAGTAACAGCAGCTAACCAGTGAATGTTGATACATATGCTCACTTGAACCAACCTAGGTTTCAAGGAATGATGACAAAAATATTAAGAAACTGAAAATTTAGCTCAAGTGAATAATTCTCTTGCTAATATTATGGACTAAGAGTGTTTTTGACTTTGTTCTCAGTAGTGAGACATAGAAATCTCCTCACAGCCATAGTGACCAAATCTGTTCTGGGTCTGCTATGCCCTGCCAGGTAGGGCTTGCTGAGTCCTAAGGCAGTCCCTGGGGGGCCTGTCCCCAGATGGGGTCTGTGGGACTCCTCTGCCCTCTGTGAACAGCATCATGTCCCCAGATCTCCAACCAGCCTGGGAAGATTCTTCCTGCTTCCCTATGGCTCCAGGAACAGACATATGCAACTGAGAGCAAATTTCAGCTGCAAATGTTTGGCCGTTAAAGTGGACTTTGGGAAGAAGAAAACATTTCCTTCTGACTTCCATGGCTTCTGCTCACTGCCAAGGTTGCAGAAAAGCCAGAAGTGACACCACTTCAAATGCTGTCTCCTTAAATAACCATTTATATCCAGAAGATTAGGCAGCCACAGAGGAACCTTGCAGCTCTTGATTTTATGTGTATATGGGGAGGGAGCAGAAGCACATGGAGCTCAGTGTCTCCCTGCAATTACACTTGCTGTCTGTAAGTGAAAAAGCCTGGTCGCCTGTTTTTTGCTTCAGCTTCACAGGTGCCATTTCCCATCAAACCTTTGGGACTTCTTAATGGGTGCATAGGCAGAGTCCTTAGGTCTTTCTTTTTTGGATGTGGCTGTTTTTGCTCCTTGTTATTCTCTGCCCACTGCCTAGGTGGGTGGAAGGATGGATGGGCAGGTGAGGATCAAGTGCTTGATTCAGTTGATATTGCAATCCCTCTTGGAATTGACTTAGCTGTTGCTTTTTCCTATGGTTTAGCCTCTGAAAGATGATGTTTGCTTAAAAGAGTTAAAGGAAAAATGGGAAAGCAGAGGGAAAGGTGGTGGTAGTGTTGTGAGCAGCAGCTGCAGGGTGATGTGTCTGTGCCTAAGCTCAAGAGGCTCCATCCCACTGGCCTCTTCTTTCCATGGATATGCAGCACTGTCAGCTCTGTGGTGGGTCTGTGCAAATTGAGGGGGAGAACCTGAAACCATGGCTGCAATGATATAAAGTGAATTTCAGTGTCGTTGCCTCCACGTGAATGTTCTCTGTCCCCTTTTCAGTCATTAGGGAGCAAAGCAAATTAATGCCAACAGAGGCTGATTCAAACCTTTGCCCTCATTTAAGGGATTCCAAAAACTGTGGTTTTGTTACGTGCTGGAGCCAACTGCCCTAGAGCAGCTCAAGGACTGGAGCAGTCTTTGGTGTTTAACCAACATGAAAGTCAGTGTTTTGCTAAAATTGTCAATGACCAGTGCAGATCCACTCCTTGACTAGGATCAAATTTATCTCTTTTATGTATTTTTAGCAGACTGGGTTTTTTTTTAATCTCTCTTTCCAACATAAAATATAAAGAAATAAAAAAGCCTCAGCATAAAAGTAGTAATATAAAAAAAAAACATCTCCAAGCAAAACAACCAAAAAGCAGTCAAGGATAAAATAAAATTAAAACATTCCCCTTGTCTGTTTTGAGTAAGGTACATGAATTTCCAACTTGGCTTATTTAGTTTTGGAGCAAAAACCCTCCCAGGTGTATATAGATTTTGATGTTAAAATGAGACATGCATGGAATGGTATTTCAGATAACTGCATCCAGAGTTTTTCTATTAAGAGATGGGTCAAAATGGGAACAAGATGGTGGCTTAGAGAGCACAAAATGGTAGGTGAGCCCTCAGGAGGGAGCACACGCCAGCCAAGCTGGCTCTGCCACCATCAGGGAATAGGACCAATAATGGCTTCAATAAGCTTCTAGCTTTGCCTCTTGTTTTTCCTCTGTCATTCTGGAATTTAATATTATGTGACATGGCCTTTATGCTAACATAGACTCTAAAAAAATATAGCCAAGACTCCAGTATGATTTCTCCAAAGAAATGGTTGAATTTCATGCTCCTCCATTAGTAAACACACAGATTTAAGAAAACGAGAGTGGTGCTCTTCTGTGGAGCACACATTTTTCTATGGTTTGGACATAAAATTACATTTATCAAGGCACTGCCTATGTAAATTATATTCTCTGTTCCTAATGCCATATGATGTTACCACTAGCATCAGCTTGATGCCAGAATTCTGCACTGGATTGAGGGGAAAAATGTGAGAAAAGCATAAAATCAAGGCTCTCGTGATGCAAATGTCAGTGTAAATATTCACTGGAGCAGGTTGGCCTGAGCACAGAGGGCTGGTCAACAGGGTTTGTGCTTGTGCCTTTGCAATATGATTTGGATTCCAGTTGCAGAATTCTATAGAATGTGCATTTGAACCCAGCATAACCTAGATGAAAGGGTGAGTGATTGTTCAGTGCATGGAGTAAATAATATTAATCGGAAAATAAAGACCTATAATTTAAATTTGTTTAGTGTCAGGGTGGCAGAGTGGGCAGGTGATGATGATAAACTTTTGCAATTCAAAAGAAGAATTTATGCAGTTGCTGCTTTCAAATGCCCAGTCTGTCATTAGTATAACCAGCACTGATTTCAGTAACAGCAGAATCAGGCACTTTTTTGCCTGTCTTGTTGTTGGCTGTTCTCTTAGTTATTTTTAAGAATGTAAGAAACTAGTGGTGTTTTTATAATTGTTAACAGGCAGAAGGTTTTAGCTATGCCACTTGGAAGTGCTGAGCACTGGCTCTGACAGCCTTCACAGCAACAACAAATCTTAAAACCAGTTATTTGTGACTGCCATATCACAGAACATGGTTATACATCAAAATAATATTTTTTAATTCTGAAAAATCCCTGAAGATATCACTGGGTTTTGAATATGGCAGATGTGTTAGTATGTTAGGATGACATTAAGTCAGGCAATTTTTCCTTCACAGGACAGTTCTTTACTATGATCTGTTGAAACATCCATTTCAAAAACAGACCCTATATTTACACTGGCAATTTTGCACATGCAAGCTGTGCATGTAGAGCATTTCAGATATGAATACTTACCAGGTAGTGGTGTTTAAGCATCTATTAAAATTTCACATGAACTTACTATCACCCGTTCAGGAAGAAACTGCAAACACAAATCCCATATTTAGGTTAAAAAGTAGGAAAAATCTCTTTACTAAATTTCCATTTTATGAATTATTTTATAGAAACCAGTAAGTTCTTTTTCAGCAGTGGAGAAGTCTGTTTTAATACTTAATGTCATAGTGGACCTAGTTTTCTGATGACTTTGCTTTCCAGTTGGTTTGCTTTAGCAATCACAACTTATTTTTTTCTTTTTCAGTTGAAGAGGGTGAATCTTCAGATTTTGCTTTGACCTGGGACTCGTCAGTGACTCAATCAGGTAAATATTTTAGGTTCTTCTGATTGCAAAAACTGCCAGAAAGCTGCCAGGCTTTTTACAGGAACTGTATTTTGTATGTCACATTCCTGTCTCAAATCCAAGACTACCCACTGCAACACAATTTTTATATCAGTTCCATATGGTCAATAAAATCTATTACACACAGAGACTAATATACTCTTATCCTCCAGAGAGCCATTCTTTCTTCTTGTGGGCACACTGAAACGGGTTGTGATTTCTCCAGTATAATCACTTTGAAGTTTTCTGCAATGGGCACTGTTACACATTCATTCCAATCTAATTACATAAAAGCTGCTTTAATAGGAATTTTAAGCCTCAGTCTCAACTGGAATGTGTGTATTTCTCCTCTTGGAGGAAATTGGAAAGCACTGTCAGGGCTGGAGAATAAAAGTGGTACATTGCCATGGTAGAAAGATTTAAAATTTGAACAAGCTTTTGGTCTGCTTGACAATGATAAACATGCATCTGAAGCTTATTCATCCATGTTAGGTCAATAATCTGACTAAAAAGAGGCTCAAGAAACTGAACAGGATAAATCAAGTTTGTGTAATATGTATTGATAACACAAGCATGAGGGAAAATGTCAGATTTAAACAGTTTGTGTTTAAAGCAATTAGCCACATCTCAGTCACTGTGCCCCATGTAAAGACATTTTGCTGTCTGTTTTTAACATTTTTGAGATGCTCAGAATATTTTTGATTTTGAAGCCAGTAAGTCTATTTCTGTGCTCTCTGCACACTGGACTGTGCAATGGTATTCTCTTAAAAGCTCACCTATGATATGGAAACAGCTGAGAAACTGAGCAGCAATATAAAAACCAACAGTGGTGTTGCATTCCTGGTTGGATGGGTTGGGGAGCCTGGCTCCCAGGGGACGCTTTCTTACCAAAGCAAGCATCTCTCTGGTCTCCAAGGCACAAACTGCCTTTGTGTGGCCTTCCACATTGTACCCACTGCGCTCTCAGATGCATCTTCTGGGGCACTGGGTGCATCTTCTCTGGGCACTCTGGCTGTTTGGAGGGGTTTGTGTTTTCAGTAGTCTTTGATAGCAAATATTGCTGCTGCTGCAAACCCCCAGCTGTGATGTGGAAGGCCCCTTTGTGCCTGGAGCTAACGGTGCATGAAAAGAGCGCTCGCCAGCTCTCTTGCTTGACCTTCATCCCAAACAGCACTGCAGTGGAGTTACCGGTGTTATCTATCACAAGTCTGGAAGTGTATTAAATTCAAAATAGGCTGTGGTTCAAAACAATGACAAAAAATTTCCTGTGCACAGCAGAGTTAATTTGGGGTTGGTATTGGTGACTATGCCTTAAGTAAAAGACAGACTGTGAAAGGCTTTTATCAAGTTAGTCAAGTCTCCATTTTTCTTCATTTATTCCCACAATTACAGCTCTCATTCAAGACGTCGGATGTGGGAGAAAATGTATTGTATGCATGATTTATGGCAGCTTTAGGAATATGTGTGTTAATTGAGGGTTTTCTTCTTAATACATTTAGTAGCTGCAGATGTTGATCTTGTATATATATAAAGAGGTGATACTGTATCCTGTCAAGTTGGGATGCAATACATGGGATACAAGTTGCAGGTTGGAATATGACTGAGGAGTTACACAGAAAAAGCTTAAAAAGCCCAAGTTTGTGGTGGTGTGGCTGTGTGGAGTCACTGGCTCTTGTGTGGTGCAGCTCCACAGCTATATTCAGTAACTTAAACCAGTCCCTCAGTCCCAGTGTGCGAGACTTTCATTATGTTCTTTTATGATCTTCCTGTTTGCATTAGCTTCAGTAGTGTGATGTTGAAGTTCAATAAAGGGTGAAAAAACACGCTTCAATTTCTTGTTTCATGTCCCTTCCTTCCCTGGCCCAAAATGACAAAATTGCCTCCCCTTCCTTAACTCCCCCAAAAGGAAAAAAGACCCCAAAGGCCAAACCTGGGACTTGTTAACTCTGAAACATTTGCCAGATGTTTCAAATTAACATATTTCTTTCCCTCTTTCTCCTGTATGTGTTTGTACATCTCTGTGTGTGTGCAAACACATACAAAATGACTTCTGAAAAATTCTGTTGGCAGTCTGCACAGCTGCTGTGGGCTGGGGGAGTCATGGTCCCAGGGTTGGGTGGTATGTAGGAACAGCAAGACCTGTTACAGGTAGAATGCAAACTTTTAAAAAATATATAAATGTATTTTTCTACTAGTAAAATAACTATATAGGAGCATCTCTAGGGGAAAATGGCGCTTTTGTTACTATATTTTATTTTGTTCATCTAACCAGTAGAAGCTATTCTGAAAAAGTTTTTTGTGAGCATGAGTTGAGCCTGCAGTGATAAGTCTTGTCTCAGTGGCTCTGATGACCATGTGTCCTTGGTGTGCCAAAGGGCTCCAAGCTTGGTGTCTCCTGTGGGAGCTTCTCTGCTCCTGACACATACTGAGGGTGCACAGCCTGCGCATCCCTGACCACACCAGGGCAAGGGCTGCTCATGGGAGCTGCTTAGTGCAGCAGGAAATTTGGCTGTGAACACCATGAACAGGAACCCTGTGCTCAGATGGGTCTGTTTGGTGATAGCTTGGTACAGGACCATCCTTTTTCCTCTGGCAGAGCATGTGCACAAGTTGCTGTCTGCCCTGGTGTAGCTGCTTGTTCCTGGTAAAATCTGCCAAGGCAAAACACTTTGCAAGAATCCAACCTGTGGTGTAGTTGCACTGAGGAATTTACTTCAGTAGTTCAATTACAGCTAGAAATAGTTCATTTAATGATTTTAAATAACAACACCTTAAAGGCTGTGCATAATAACCTAGAGAATAAAAAAAAACACAGAAGAGGCAGAGGCTGCCCTTGCACCAGGGTGAATAACCTGAGTGTCCACCAGTACTGTTTAACAATGGGCATATAGTGAATTTCCTTCCTCTTCAGGTTTTGTAAACATCTTTTCCTTAATGTAAAAGGACGAAAAAAACCCTTTTCCTTTCCTCCCTTAATCCAAGGACTTAGTTTGTTGTTGAATAGCTGGCCAGGCTTGTTTGCTGTCTAAGAGGCAGAGATGTTTTCTGTTCCAGAGGAACAGTGTAGCCGAGTACTTCTTCCCCCTGCTTTCTCCCCCTCAACCCTTAACACATGTGCAGCCCTTGCAGCCTGTCTGTCCTTCTCCAAAATTGTCACTGGGGCTGGGCAAGGCTGCTGGGGGCCAGGCAAGTGCCCACCTCTGCTCTGCAAAAGGGGCTCTGGCTTTTTCGAGGCCAAGACAAAAATAAGGTTCAATGCTCACAGAACAAAGGTCCGGTCAGACAATGCTGCATTTCTGTTGCAATACATCACGAGGGTGTTATCTTGAGGAGCAACAAGGGACGTTTTAAAGAAGTAAAAAGTCTTACTAAATATATAGAGAATTTAAGGCATTTTAAAGACCTATGAAAGCATTTTATATGGGAGTTGCTGGGGAGTTTCTCATTAGCCTGACTGTGAGGCCCCAGGGAATCTTGGCTGAATTGTCTGGGGCAAACAGAGCAGATTCTGTCTTCTCCTCAGGAGCCCGCAGACCTAAAAGCCTAATTTTTTTTTTTTTGGTGTCTGCTTTTGAGGTAGTTGAAGGTATCTTGTTTTTCTCTGCAGCTACATGTTACAGTACTGATCAAGAAAGAGTTTTGGAAATAGGGAACTGTGGCCCATGTCCTGAGTGCTGGGGACAAATGGCACTGGGTATGTCTCTGTGCACAAGTGTTTGCAGAGCATGGGGTTTCTTTGCAGTGTTTGCAACAAGAAAGGCCTCAGTGCCCAACCATCCATTAGCACATAACACTAGTGTAATTCAATTATAACATTCCAGAAATCATAAAAATAAATTACAGGTTGGTATTCCCTGCTTTCCCCATTAGCTCCAAATTTCCTGTCCCTGCCACCGAGCTCACAGCAGCAGCTGGGCACATGTGTGAGGGACATGTTAACACAGCACAGCATGGGGAAAAAAACAAAACACAATATTTTAGGACACAGATATTTGATGTTTTTCTGTTAAGATTTCTCCTCCATGCTTTTTTTATGCAGCACACCATTTTAGATTGTTAATTGCATTCTTCAATTTCTTTTAAAGTTTCTCTCCTTTTAGGGGAAAGAAAAGGGGAAGCAGCAGCTTTTCAGAAATGAACCACAAAATAAAGGAAAACCATCCTGTGGTCACTCCTTTTCCTCTCTTATTCTTTGCATGGCATCTCTCAGCAATGTAAATCAAAATTTTCACTTGGTATCTCTTGAGGAGCAACATCTTGACACAATTTGGAGACTTTCTTTTTCTGCAGGGCTACCAGAGCCCATGCTGGGGTGCTTTTAATGCTGTCTCTGCTGCTCAGGCTTGTGTTGCCTGTTCCCTCCTGGCTGTTCCCTCTGTTCTCCTCCTCTTTCAATCTTCTGATCCTGGTGCTACATTGTCTGTTCCCAGTGTTCAAGGTTTCTGTTCTCCTCTGTTCTGTAGAGTTGGGTTTAATTTTGGCTTCTTGGGAAAGCTGGGGTCTCATGAAGCAAACAGACTCACTGCGGCAAGTATTCGTACCTTGACTTTTTCTCATTTTCTGTTTATTGAGATAAGTAACAGAAAATGTATTCTCCTGCCTCACCTTTCCCCCTGGGGAAGTCTGTTTTGTCTACACAGCTGCTTGTCCCCTCAGCTTCCCTCCTGCACTCTGGGCTTGCATGGGCCACTGCCTGGTGCCCAAGACAAGAGCAGCAGCCTCCCAGGTCCCTTGTGGTGTCCCAGTGCCCAGAGCTGTCCCTTGTGGTGTCCCAGGGCCCAGAGCTGTCCTTTGTGGTGTCCCAGGGCCCAGAGCTGTCCTTTGTGGTGTCCCAGGGCCCAGAGCTGTCCTTTGTGGTGTCCCAGTGCCCAGAGCTGTCCCTTGTGGTGTCCCAGGGCCCAGAGCTGTCCCTGCCCTTTGCCTGGGCTGTGTCAGGAGTACTCAAGGAGTTCAGGTGAGGGAGACTCCACAGACACCAAATT